TCTAGTTTGCTCAGTTTTTTTGTTAATTCCTTCCAATGTGGCAAGTAATTGTCTTCTTGTTTTCTCGTGATTTGGTTGGGTCTAATTGTGTTGTTGTTGTTGTTGTTGTTGTTGTTGTTGTTGTCCTGGGGCTGTGTAAGGTCTGTTTGTGTTTGTGAATAGAGCCCCAGGACCAGCTTGCTTAGGGGACTCTTCTCCAAGTTCATCTCTGTAGGTGATGGCTTTGTTATGGAAGGTTTGGGAATCGCTTCCTTTTAAGTGGTTATAGAATTCAACTGCTCTTTTCTGGATTTTGATAATTAGCGGGTATCGGCCTAATTCTGCTCTGCATGCATTATTTGGTGTTTTTCGTTGTACACTGAGAATATTTTTGCAGAATTCTGCATGCAGAGTCTCAATTTGGTGTTTGTCCGATTTTGTGAATTCTTGGTTGTTGAGCGGACCCCAGACCTCACAACCATAAAGGGCAATGGGTTCTCTAACTGATTCAAGTATTTTTTGCCAGATCCTAATTGGTATGTCAAATTTTATGTTCCATTTGATGGCATGGAAGGCACTTCTTGCCTTGTCTCTCAGATCGTTCACAGCTTTGTGGAAGTTACCTGTGGCGCTGATGTTTAGGCCGAGGTATGTATCGTTTTTTGTGTGTTCTAGGGCAACGGTGTCTAGATGGAATTTGTATTTGTGGTCCTGGCAACTGGACCTTTTTTGGAACACCATTATTTTTGTCTTACTGAGATTTACTGTCAGGGCCCAGGTCTGACAGAATCTGTGCAGAAGATCTAGGTGCTGCTGTAGGCCCTCCTTGGTTGGTGACAGAAGCACCAGATCATCAGCAAACAGTAGACATTTGACTTCAGATTCTAGTAGGGTGAGGCCGGGTGGTGCAGACTGTTCTAGTGCCCTCGCCAATTCGTTGATATATATGTTGAAGAGGGTGGGGCTTAAACTGCATCCCTGTCTCACCCCACAGCCCTGTGGAAAGAAATGTGTGTGTTTTTTGCCAATTTTAACCGCACACTTGTTGTTTGTGTACAGGGATTTTATAATGTCGTATGTTTTTCCCCCAACCCCACTTTCCATCAATTTGTATAGCAGACCCTCATGCCAAATTGAGTCAAAAGCTTTTTTGAAATCAACAAAGCATGAGAAGACTTTGCCTTTGTTTTGGTTTGTTTGTTTGTCAATTAGGGTGTGCAGGGTGAATACGTGGTCTGTCGTATGGTAATTCGGTAAAAAGCCAATTTGACATTTGCTCAGTACATTGTTTTCACTGAGGAAATGAACTAGTCTGCTGTTAATGATAATGCAGAGGATTTTCCCAAGGTTGCTGTTGACGCATCTCTCTCTCTCTATCTCCCCCTCTCCCTCTCACCCCTGGAGGGTCCATCCACACTTCATTCCTCATTGCCATTCTCAGCTGCTCTCTCGCCCTCTCTCTATCTCTCCCTCTCTCTCTTTCTCACGTTTTCACAAACAACTGCAGTGCATTTGCATAATTACAGATGTAATTTGTTTCTCTTTGCAAAGAAGCAATTTCCGCTTCACTTGAGCACCGTCTATAACCGGAATTTAAAACCACATCATTGCACATTAAAATAGCTGAGCTCAACCTCAAATACATGCATGTGAAGGTGGAGTCACAGGCACGCACGCACACACACCCCCTCAGACACACACGCACACACACCCCCTCAGACACACACGCACACACACCCCCTCAGACACACTTGCACACACGCGCACACACACACACTTGCACACACACACACGCACACACACACACACACACCCCATTCCCCCCCACACACCCAAGGGGTGAAATAAAATCCTATTTTCCATGAAGAAGTGTTGGCCTAGCTCCATGGTTGATCAGTGAGCCAGAGGCCTAGTCTTTGTGATAGCCAGTTGAGGAGATACGGTTCACTACCATTTCAGTAGGATGAAAATTAAAATGGCCCTGACCCTCTTATGTCTCCAGTAGCTATTTCTGTTTAAAGTGCTGCTAGCTTTACACAGCATATGGTCTTTATTAAAAAACACTGTGAATCAACACCATGGTTACTGCCGGAGAGAGAGAGACAATGTTATCAGATTATAAATGGTTTGCTTATAGCCTATAGGAAACACATTGTTTCAGATTATATGGTTTGAAAACAGAATATAGAAACATTGTTTCTAACAATATAGTTAATAATAATACATTCTAGACATGTACCAGGGTTGTGACATGGTACATATCTTCAGATAAAGGTGTGCTAGGGCTGATCCATGGTACATATCTTCAGATAAAGGTGTGCTAGGGCTGATCCATGGTACATATCTTCAGATAAAGGTGTGCCAGGGCTGATCCATGGTATATTTCTCCAGATAAAGGTGTGCCAGGGCTGATCCATGGTATATTTCTCCAGATAAAGGTGTGCCAGGGCTGATCCATGGTACAGTGCATTCGGAAAGTATTCAGACCCCTTCCCTGTTTCCACATTTTGTTACGTTACAGCCTTATTCTAAAATGGATTAAATTGTTTCCCCCCCCCCCCCTCATTAATCTACCGGTACACAAATGTATTACAAATAAAAAACTGAAATATTACATTTACATAAGTATTCAGACCCTTTACTCAGTACTTTGTTGAAGCACCTTTGGCAGCGATTACAGCCTTGAGTCTCCTTGGGTATGACACTCCAAGCTTGGCACACTTGTATTTGGGGAGTTTCTCCCATTCTTCTCTGCAGATCCTCTCATGCTCTGTCAGGTTGGATGGGGAGCGTCGCTGCACAGCTATTTTCAGGCCTCTCTAGAGATGGTCGATCGGGTTCAAGTCCGGGCACTGGCTGGGCCACTCAAGGACATTTAGAGACTTGTCCTGAAGCCACTCCTGCATTGTCTTGGCTGTGTGCTTAGGGTCGTTGTCCTGTTGGAAGGTGAACCTTCGCCCCAGTCTGAGGTCCTGAGCGCTCTGGAGCAGGTTTTCATCAAGGGATCTCTCTGTACTTTGCTCCATTCATCTTTCTCTCGATCCTGACTAGTCTCCCAGTCCCTGTCGCTGAAAAACATCCCCACAGCATGATGCTGCCACCACCATGCTTCACCGCAGGGATGGTGCCAGGTTTCCTCCAGACGTGAAGCTTGGCATTCAGGCCAAAGAGTTCAATCTTGGTTTCATCAGACCAGATAATTTTGTTTCTCATGGTCAATGAGAGTCCTTTAGGTGCCTATTGGCAAACTCCAAGCGGGCTGTCATGTGCCTGTTACTGAGGAGTGGCTTCCATCTGGCCACTCTACCATAAAGGCCTGATTGGTGGAGTGACCATCGGGTTCTTGGTCACCTCCCTGACCAAGGCTCTTCTACCCCGATTGATCAGTTTGGCCGGGCAGCCAGCTCTAGGAAGAGTCTTGGTGGTTCCAAACTTCTTCCATTTAAGAATGATGGAGGCCACTGTGTTCTTGGGGACCTTCAATGCTGCAGACATGTTTTGGTACCCTTCCCCAGATCTGTGCCTCGACACAATCCTGTCTCAGAGCTCTACGGGGAAGGGGGAAAGGGGGATACCTAGTCAGTTGTACAACTGAATGCGTTCAACTGAAATGTGTCTTCATAGCAAAGGGTCTGAATACTTATGTAAATAAGGTATTTCTGTTTCTATTTTTAATACATTTGCCAACATTTCTAATAACCTGTTTTTGCTTTGTCATTATGGGGTTTTGTGTGTAGATTGATGAGGGAACATTTTAATTTAATCGTTATTAGAATAAGGCTGTAACGTAACAAAATGTGGAAAAAAGGAAGGTTTCTGAACACTTTCCAAATACACTGTATCTCCAGATAAAGGTCTGCCAGGGCTGATCCATGGTATGTATCTTCAGATAAAGGTCTGCCAGGGCTGATCCATGGTATGTATCTTCAGATAAAGGTCTGCCAGGGCTGATCCATGGTATGTATCTTCAGATAAAGGTCTGCCAGGGCTGATCCATGGTATGTATCTTCAGATAAAGGTCTGCCAGGGCTGATCCATGGTATGTATCTTCAGATAAAGGTCTGCCAGGGCTGATCCATGGTATGTATCTTCAGATAAAGGTCTGCCAGGGCTGATCCATGGTATGTATCTTCAGATAAAGGTCTGCCAGGGCTGATCCATGGTATGTATCTTCAGATAAAGGTCTGCCAGGGCTGATCCATGGTATGTATCTTCAAATAAAGGTGTGCCAGGGCTGATCCATGGTATTCCACTGTAACTGGGTGTGAGTCAGTGTGTGCCAGCAGAGAAAGAAGTGACACGGAATAGAGTGAAGTTGCCCCTAGACGCTGATCTCGGGTCAGTTTAGCATTTTCCCCACTAATGGTTAAGGATTTTGGGAGGGGAAGCTGATCCTAGATCTGTACCTAGGGGAAACGTCACCCCAGAGTGATCACCTTCAGGTCCTTGCCAACAGTACAGTGGTGCTGTGGTCTGTCTATCTCCGGATCGCAGGAAACAGGGGATTTGCCTTGCCTGTCATTCACACACCACTATTGCCTCACTGCATAAAATGGAGAAAGAGCAGTTTCTTACAGCTTAAAAGATGGGAAAGCCCACAGGCAAACCTGGAAGATGTATCTATTTAAAGATACTGTAAACTATCACATGCAGTCCTTCCACAA